GAGGCCCCATCCCTGGAGGCATTCAAGGCCAGGTTGGACGGGGCTCTGAGCAACCTGATCTAGTTAGCAGTGTCCCTGCTCCTGCGGGGGGGTTGGACTAGATGACCTCTAGGGGTCCCTTCCAACCCAAAACATTCTATGATTTTATGTGTCTAGGGGGGCACCTCGGGAAAAGCAAAATCCTGGGATTTGATGTGTTAGACATGCGTCTGCACGGCTGTAGGAAAACGTTGTGGGGTTCACACCACTGCTTGCCCGCCTGTGGAGGGGAACAGGCATCGGCTCTGCGGGCAGATGGGCCTGGCTCTCCCCCCAGCCATGCTGCGGGATGCTGAGCAAAGTGGGGAGCCCGGCTGGGAGTCATGGCGGCCCCTGCCGATCAACCAGGCAGGAGAGGTGTCGCACAGCCCCGTGCAAGCGCCATCCCCAGGAAGGAGCAGTTGGCTGGGACATGGGAGCTGCTGTGGGAGTGTGGACCTGCTGTGGCTTGTGGAGGCCATGCATCTCTCCGGGGATGTGCCGGGAGGTTGCTCCCATCGAGCCAGCAGCCGTTTGGTGGGATCCCAGAGGAGGAAACCCCTGTGTTGGTACAAACTGGAGGCCTGAGTGGTGCCGTGGACCTTGGAAAGGGGCAAAGCCAGTGGGACACTGCTGCGTGCTGCACGCAGGGCAGTCGCACCCCTTGTGCACGCGTGTTATAGCTCACCTCGGTGCCCCGAGGCATCTCAGGGTCGCTGAACCTGCCCCAGGAAGGGAGAGACTGGGCCAGGAGCTCTGCCCTGGCACCAAACTGCCAGCACACTTGTTAATGTTTTCCTTCTCCTTTTGTTTCAGGGGGCAAAGGGGCTTAGGGCCTCTGAAACAAACGGAAAACAAAGACTGTGGTGAGCCAGCCCTTCTTACCACCAAATGAGGCCAACCCACGGAGAAAGCGCAGCTGGGGAGGAAAAGCAAAAGGGAATCTGCAAATGGTCTCTAGCTCCTTCCCAGCCGGGCTGGTGGGGACCTGAGGCTGGTGCAGGGACACTGGCTGCGTGTCCCTGGTCCCAGAGCTGTCCCATCCTGGATCCCCCTTGGCTCTGGGAACCAGAGCTATTGGTTTGGCAGGGTGATGTCTATGGGACAGGAGCTATAATTTGTAGAAAAGCATCGCTCAGGACACCTTGGAGGCAGAAAGCCTCTTGCTGCAGCCTCCCAGCGCTCCTGGCCCTCTCAACCCCCCTCAGCATCTGAATATTCACCCCTGAGGTCTCCAGCTGAAGCCTGCAGGCTTCTTTTAGTCAACTTCTGCCTCCGAGGTGTAATGTTATAAAGCTCCTTAAGCTCTCGACAGCTTCTTACTGCTTTTCTTCCATGAACTGAGTGTTTTCTCCTAGCAAGTGGAAAGGGCTCTGGTTTGCAGCAGCAGAGGCAGGTGGATGAGGTTGATCTCAAGGTGACCAGGTAGGAGTTAACGGTTAAAAACCTTCGCCCGGGCTCTCCTTATAGGAGAACTTGCCCCAAAGTCTCCTCACACCTGACTGCGGCTGGTCCTCCCCCACACCCACCCCCCTTTGGGCAGCAGCTGTGGAGGCTGGAGTGCCCGGGCAGGGGGGATCTCGGTGGCCATCTCCAGCCCAGAGATGTCTGGCTGGGCACAGCCAGTACAGGGAGGTTGGGCTGGGTGGGTGAGGGCCCCTGTGCACCAGGGCTTTAGCACAGACCTCAGAAGCACAGAGTGTTTGGGTTGGGAGGGACCTTTGAAGATGCTCCAGTCCAAGCCCCCTGCCATGCCATCTCCCACCAGGTCAGGTTGCTCAGAGCCCCGTCCAGTCTGGTCTTGGACACTTCCCATGATGGAGCATCCACAACTCCTCTGGGCAACCCGTTCAGTGTCTCGCCACTCTCACTGTACAACATTTCTCTTTTATGTCCAGCCCAAACCTACCCTCTGTCAGTCTAAAATGATTGCCCCTCGTCCTGTCACTACAGGCCTTGGTAAAAAGTCTTTCTCCATCTTTCATATAAGCCCTTGGTACATTGAAAGGCCACGATAAGGTCTCCCACCGTCTCACTGTATCTCTTCAGGACAATGTAGGCAGCCGTAACGATGCGTCATGAGCCAAGCAACCACCCTGAGTCCCGTCCCCTGTGTTTGTAATGGACCCCACTGGTACCAGGCTGCAATTTTAGTGTTTGCCCTATTTTCATATAATGTATCCAGAAGTTGTGGTGTGTTTTAAAAGCCATCTCCCTGATCGCCGTCCTGCGTTTTAACTGATGGAGATCTAGGGGGTAGGGGCGGAAGGCAGTGTGGGCACAGTGGGGTGGGTGAGCATGGCACAGAGCCAAGTCTGGGTGGGTTTCCTGCCCTTCTGAGGTTGAATTTGCACCTTTCCTGAATTTGCTGTGCTGTGGACATACAAGTTTGGTTGTCAGGCAGACCTCAAAATAAACTGGCTCTACAGCATGCGGATGCACTTCCTCCGCCTGTCTCTGCGGTGTGTGCCTGACGCGGTAGGAGGGGTACCCCAGGACACGGGGAGGGCTGGCCGTGGGCCAGACCCGGCTCCTCGCCTTGCAGCTGGTCCAACAGCTGCCCCGGGATCCTGCCGCGGGTTCTTCCCCAGCGATGGTGGGAAGCAGTGAGATGTGCGGGATGCTTCCTACGCCATGCCCAGGGGAGCGTTTGGAGCAGATGCAGCATGGTGCTCGGAGCGCTCCAATCTGGGCTTAGGGTTGAGTCTTGCCCTGCAAACCCAGGGCCCTCTGGCTGTGCTAGTGTCTTGCTTGGGGTTCGCGAGGGGAAAGGCTTTGGGCTATTCCCACTGCTGAGTCCTTTTTCAAGGCGAGCCGAAGCGTGGCATAGAGATGGGCCGAACTGCCCGTGGGTGGAGGTTGCTACACGCGTTGGGAAGCCAACAGGCATCTGGCTGCAAAGGGTTGTGGTTTTCATAGGGCTTTGGCTGCGCTCAGCACAAAGTGGTGAATTTTCTTTTTCCTTTGGCAAACGTGCCCAAGGCATCCATCTGGCACAGCTCAGGGGGACCGGGGCTGTGCAGGCTGAGGTGCTTCGGTCCCGGCATGCAGCAGCACCTCTACATGGGATCTGCCCTGGCCTCTCAAAACCACACTACTCTCACTTCATCACCCCCCTTTCCCAGTTCCCGTTTCAGTTCATATTGTCCCTGGGGAACCTGAGGAGCCTGACCTCGTCCTGGAAGAGATCAACGATGCCTGGATTAATGAAGCCACATGCGAGATGATGGCCTGGGGTCGTGAGGCTGAGCTGGTGGCAGATGCTCATCCCCTTCCCCCCATACAGGAGGAACCTCAGGAAGAAGAGAACAGGTAGGAGAAGGGAGATGCTGTTGACGGGCAGCTCTGCGTGCTCTCCATCCACCAGCACGGTGGCTGTGGGAGGGGGTGAACATATCTCTAGGACCCCTCCTTGCCAGCACTGGTGTTGGAGCTGGCAGTGGGCAGCCAAGGTGCCCGGTTCCAAAGAGGGGGGGCCCAGAAGGACCCAAAAGGTGTTTGGGCAGTCTCTCCTGGTGCTGAGGTCTGGGCTGGGCAGGCAGCAGCAGAGCTGTGAACACCACGCATTGAGTTGCTCTGCCGAGGACAGCTGGGGGATGCTCTGCTTGGGCTTCCCTGAAGTAATCTTTGGCCCGAAGGCAAGAGGGTTTGGACCTTGTTCCTACCAGCTGTGCATCCAATGATCAGGACGTTTGGAAATGCTAATCTTTATATAAGTCATCCTACTGTTTCCAAAAGAATGCCCCGCTGAGGTCCTCCCTAGGGCTGGGCAATGTGCTCAGAGTCAGGAGCAGGCTGTGTTGCAGCAGGGGGATGAGAGGTGCCCATGCACCCTTCCAAAGGGCTTGGGAGCCCCCTAAAATGCTCCCAGCACATGTGCAGGGGAGGGTGAGTGCGACAGCCCCCTCCTCCAACATGAGCGATGTTCGACTGCACGAAGTGCAAGCGATGCCCAGAGCCATGTTCACCCAGCAGAGCTCTCTTCTGCTCAGCCAGAAAACCCTGGACATGTTAGAAAAGTATTTTTCAGATTTTTTTTCCCCTTAGCTGCCCCTGAGAAGCTGCGGGCAGCAAGCACACCCCATCCAGGAGCCTGGGTTTCACTGACAGGGAACTTCTGGTCAAAATCATCAGCAAGTGATCCCTAAGCACATCCTCTCCGGGCACCGCAAGGGGAATTTGAAGGCTCTGGGACTCTGGCTTTGCATTCCCAGCGTTTTTCCCATTCTTTCTCCCCCCCCCGCCTCGGGGCCAGCATCTGCCTGGTGTGCTTGAGCGTGTGCCCCTCGGGACGTCGGCTGGGGGAAGGAGGGGGGGCACCCCCGGCCACAGAGGGTGTGGAGACCAGCAGCGCTCCGCTGCGAGGTTCAGATGCACGTTAGGGATTTCATTGATGAGCTTCTCCTTTTCAGACTGTGGCTGTGCTCCCTGAGCGCCGCTGAGGAGGAGGAGGAGGAGGAAAAGGAGGAGGAGGGGGAGGAGGAGGAGGAGAAGAAGGAGGAGGAGGTGGAGGAGACCGCGGGGTGAGTGGCTCCTGTTGCCTTTATGGCTTTGTTGGGGACGAGCATGAACGCAGTTGTTGCTTCAGCTGCATTCACAGCCCCCAGAGGGCGAAACGGCCGCGGGGGGGGTGGG